GTTTTTTGTAAGTAATTAAATTACAGGTTTCTTTTAAATTCCCATACAAAGGTTATCTGGAAGAAAACACCCTGTGTGATAAAACCGCCCATTGAACACTCTGTAGTTGTAAGCCTGTTCCTTGAAGACAATTTTAATAATGTGTACAATTAATTATGTATATAAACAAATAACATTATTACGGGTCATGTGTCCTATAATTATGACTAATATTATAAATGCGAAAGTAAGTCAGTCTGTCTGTCTTTTCTTCACGACTGAACTACTGAACTGATTTCTGTAAAATTTAGTATAGACATAGTTTGGAACTCGAAAAAGGACATAGGATAGTTTTTATACCAAAAATCTGCAAGTAGTCACTATTCCACGCGAACAGAGTCGCGGGCAAAAACTGGTTATGTATAAGAAAGAAAGAAAGAAAGAAGAAGAAAGAAAAGACATTTATTCAGCACCAGGTACGATGCAGCATATAAAAAAAAGTGTGACAGTAGAAGTAAGACAAACATGAGTTAAAGATTAAAACAGATGAAACAGAAAATAGACGCTACAACATGCCCATATAAGGCTTTCATGCATAGACTATGTTCTTTGCATTGGGGGAAATTGAGTAGACGTTAGCTGTCTTCTCTCGTCTAGGATGGGGCGAGAAGGAGTTGGACTCTTACTGACTACAAAGTACCCAGTGCCTTCTAGCAGGACGCGTTTGGCTATACTAATTGTTACCTTATAACTTTACCTTAACTTATAACCTTATTGTTCTAATCATGATGTCATAATTACAGGTAAGTCACAAATTAAACACTGACATTTCCTTTTCATATTGCCAGTAAAACCTATACGGAGTTCATGACAAGACAAAATAACTTAATAAACAAACATTAGCCATCTTTTCCGTGGCCACAAAAATGAACAATGAGTTTTGTGTTTATGTGATGATTAATTTCTTCGTCATTCTCAATAGCAATTGTGGTTGTTCAATTGTGGTTGTTCATCGCGTTCATTCTTTACTTTTACACGGTAACTACATATTATGTATAATATAACAATATATGTACTAACATCAAAATACTTTTGTCGAAGTTTTGGAAGGAGTTTTATTGTTCGTGAATATCAAAATCAGGAACCTGTCAATAAATCGTAGCAGGGTCGTTGAAGATTTCAGGTTAAAATGTCCGACGTTTTGAAGAGACCCCTCTACCCTACCCCCAACTTCTAGTGGACTGTTCTCTAACTTTAAGTGCATAATTTAGCATGTTATTTTCTTCGTTGTTGTAACGCCGTCACTAATTTTAACAAAAAAAAAAAAAAAAATAAGCATAAGTAACAAAAAAAAAAACCGATGTTCTTTAACTCATCACTGGAATTACCACAAATGGCTTAAGACGTCTGTTGGGTTTTATGATGTTGTTTCTAAGCACAGAGTCATAAAATTCTTAGAATGTTTCGACCTGACCTAACCTAAGGCAATAAGTCAGTCCTTTATACTTGCCCTTCAGACGTTTCTGCCATAAAAATATCTAGTCCTTCATAAAGGGGCGGAGTTGAAAATACTATTGTGTACGAATAAACATTGTATGTTATAAATATCCTACTTTTCACCAGTCTAAATATCAGAATATTCGTTGGTTCTACTTAATCACGGCTATGTATTTTAAAAGGGAATTTGTCTTCAAGTCTCTGGTGAATGCTAATATGGTGATGCGTTATGGTTCTGGGTTTGGGAAAACTAAAACGGCTGTTATAAAAGATCGAAAGAAACAAAAAAGGACTCATTTGGTACCGATAAGTAAGTATCAATAAAGGTAAAATGGAAAAGATATTTTAAGGAGGAGGAGGATCTTCAATCATTTTTTCACTCTCTGCCTGCCCTCAATGAATCCAAAAACTTTTTAATTCTAGTAAAATTCTCAGCAAATACTGCAAAATTGTATTTTATTCCTCGTAACTTACCTTAACCTAATGTGACAATGGCAATTTAAGCGACTTAAAGCAAAAGACTCCCCTGAGAAATCGAAATAAAATGTTCTTTTCCCTTTCTTTTCTTTTAGTTAAGTTGTAAAAAGTTGGTTTTTACGGCCTATTAAGTTTAACAGGATATAAAAAGTTTTGGCTAATTCGGATAGTTTTTTATTTTCGGTAATTGTTTATGTTCATTGGTCTATATTCTGCTCGATTTTTAGAATTTATTCTATTAGTAACTTGTCTCCTTCAGTGTATGGAGAGAGAGCGTCAGACTCTTAATAACTAAAAATTTCTTCTCCGGTTTCGGCATCATTGCGCTTGACTCGCAATCCCGGCTACACATAAGCCCTATTGGGCTCCATATGTAGTAGCCTATGAGGCGCGTGCGGAGCGCTACGCGCCGTACGTTCCTCGGGCGGCGAGTTACCTTTGCTCGCCGATCGCAGACTTGCGCTTACGGTGGCCGGAGATCGTATATTGTTGTTTCTTAATTATATTAATTTAATACTTAACCATTTAAGTCAATTAAAACATTAAAAAGTATTCATTTTACTCAATCCCTCAGTGTGAAGTAAATCCTAGCTTGAATAACATTGATGAAGATACATTCATTTATACGATTACATTTCGTTGTCAAGAGTTGCGTAAGATTCGATGAACTATGCATAACTAACATAACATACCTACAAAATACATAACATATCGATAACTGATTGCATCTTGAACAAGAAATGATTTGTAGACGATATGTTATGTCGACTACTGTTGTAGTGGGAAGGCTGTAGCCATAACTTGTCAAACGCATGATGGATGAGACAATACAGAGCCCGGTATTTGTCTGTGAAGAAGTCTGAGAGATTGGTGTTCAAGAACAATCAATCTTGTTCAACATGTTTGATAGGAATATTTTTACACTAAATTACTTGGGAAATCAAAATCAAATGTTGTGTTGACATTTCATAAGATCAAAGATTTTCTATTTATCTTTTTGTACGTTTGATGTTGTATGTCTGTATCAGCGAGCAACTCATTTGATTGCGAAGCAATTGGTATTGGCTTAGAAAATAACAAATCAAATGATGATCGGTATTATTTTTGTATATGAGGTTTGAACACGAGTTTTGGGATAGCTTTGATAATAAACACGGTATTTAAATGGCTTTTAAAATGAGGTATTTAATTAAATGAGTTTTTAACTCGTTATTCGGTCGAATGGAATCAATTTGGTTTTTCACAGGTTTTTTGGTCTAAACCAAATTTTCAATAAATATGAATGAATGAATGAATGAATGAATGAATGAATGAATGAATGAATATACTTTATTGTACACCATAATAATAAAAAAACATAGGAAACAAAAACACAAAATATAGTACAATTGGCGGTCTTATCGCTTAAAAGCAATTTCTTCCAGACAACCTTTGGATGGAGTTTAACTGTAGAAGAATTTGATACGGGCAGTTTACGGCGTACATATACATTATAATATATAATATATATAATATATATATATATATATATATACATATATATATAATAATAAATAAACAAATAAGAAATTATAAAAAAATATATATATAAAAATAAATCATAACAATAGGTATAGCGATGATGGATAAGTTACTGAGCCATGTAGTGGTCGTTCACCATTTTCTTAAAAACTGCTAGCGACTGCGCACGTCTAACCGTCACTGGCAAAGCATTCCACAGACGCGTGGCCTGTACAGCAAACGACTTATCATAAAATGACGTATAGTGTACTGGCATCTTCAGTTTCAGGTTTTCTGATCTGATCTGATCTATTAATCATCAATATGAGACACAAAATAATAATCTCAAACTGCAACGTGGAAAAGAAAGAACAAGGCAATCAAAATCGTAATGAACTCCTTTCAATAAAGGTAAATTCACTACAAAATACATGATATCTTCAGCACATTTCAGATTCGAAGCACAGCGGTCGTCACGAGATTCCCGGTGGACCATGCTGGGTGAAATATGGTGCAATAAATTACTATATTATCGCTAGCAGTCGATTTTGTGCCCCTCGTCCGAGGTACTTCGTTATGAACGGGCAGTGGCTACTAAGTTAGTGACTGTATGATCTGAAATTGCTTGTTGTTTCTCCTTTTTAGTTTGTTCTAGTTGTTGTTACTTGTTTCTGTTTTGATTTCTTTATTTGAATGCTTGGTTTGCCTCAAATTATTTAGTTTTATTAGTGACTCGTTTATTTATAGGTTAGTTGATTTAGCGTTACATATTTGTCTCTCAGACATTAAATATACTTTAGCCCGAGTCGCGGGTCAAGCGCAATATAAGGTACCTCGGCCTGGGCCTGGACCAGGAGAAGGAATAGGGGGCTTGTAGTCAGTAATTTGATACAAAAGGCGGACTTAATGACATATGGCGTTAACTATTATTTTTTAACCTTTGGGTCAAGTAGAGAAATCAGCGATAAATATGGTTGTAAACAAACAGGAAAAAGACACATATTATTATTAACCTTTCAATCGTGGTAATTCAAGATCCTATACAAGAAAAATGGGTGCGCAAGCGCCGGCGTTCACTTGGGGTTTGTATAAATTATGATAATATAATAGATATTATAGTTGATTGACAATTAAAATAAATTATGTAGATATACATATGCTTACTGTTCTACTAGTAGATTTCTCACTGATAATCATGTTTTCTTTTGAGACGGGAAATCAATTGCTTTTCGCTCTGGGTAACAAGAGGGAGTATCAGACTCCTTCTGACAAAAAACCGATAATAGATAATAGTTTGCACCTAAAATCTAACAAACAAGCTTCATTATTGTAATGATAGCTTGTAGATATACATATATAAAAATGAATACCTAATAGGTACGTTGAGCAGACGAGTCAGTCCGATAACTTGTTGTAACCTTTATAATTGCTTTAACTGTTTAATAACAACATTGTACCTATATATGATCAATACTTAGATATAAACATTAGTATAGTTTCGAACTTATTGCCATTAAGGTGTTTGTGGTGAAATTTTACTGTATAATTTAATTATATTGTGCGGGAAAAATACGCTTTATAATATATAATAATGGTACGTGTATATTTTTGTTATTTTCTCTGCTTTGCATATCGCTTTTGTATTCGTTTTCATATTATTCTCTTTATTGACAAAAGTAATATTGAATATTTTTATTATTTTAAACTATGTAAACATACAAATTTGTGTTTCGATACCTTTTGATTCGATTTTACTGATACTTTTTTACATTTATTTGCTTAATTTTTAACTTTAACTAAAAATAATATAAATAATAATTGTGGCCATAAAATATTAATAAATAAGTGTGGGAAAGCTATGCTGTAGTCGGTTCGACTAGAGTGATACCACGGCCTAATAGAAAAACTGCATGAAACAACCACAGCGTTGTATTCGCCGTGTGAGTGTAGTTACCGGAAGCCCAATCCTTCCCCTTACCCAATTTCTAAATCTCCAAATCTCTAATCCCCAAAAGGTCGGCAACGCACTCGTAACTCCTCTGTTGTTGCGGGTGTCCATGGGCGGTGCTGATTGCTTACCATCAGGTAATCCGTCTGCTCGTATGCCGACCTATCACATAAAAAAAACTTCGTCGAGTGATAATAAAATGTTTGTTTACGTATTTGTATGATTGTTCAGTTTTATGTAGGGTGATAGTACTTCGGTTTAACTCTGGGTCAATGAACTGTATAAAGTCACCCTTAACTCTCCATTTTGTCCTGACAATCAGCAACTTATTTATATCGCAAATAGTTCTTTTACGAGAAAAACATCTCCGTTCATTACTTGATTGTTGATAGAATAATCACTTATTATAATCATGTTATTATTATTTTTCATTTAATCGACGACAATTTTTATTTTTCTTTCATAATGATGATCTATGTACCTATAGTGAATTTATTGGGAAATCTATTATTAATAAATTAGTCGCTAATATCAACAGTAATTTGATAAATAAATTAACTGATAGATAATTACAAATAACAAAATGGACGCCATTTAACTTTGAAATAAAAGTTTATTTTGTAGCTTATACATACTTTTACTAGTAGACCGTCTACCATCAACAAACTACCTATGCTAAAGCTGAATTTGCCATATTTTCATCAAAATTACTCGAACTTTAAGGAAAATAATTATAATTATTGTTTTGTAATTATTAATTTTGTAATGTCTGGACTTTGAACAATACCTAATTAGATAGCTTAGGTAATGTTTGTTGACGCTTACGGAAAAAAATATTATTAATAAAAACAAGATTAGGGAAAAAAAGTTTGGTTTTTCCCCTTCACCGCATCGAAAAACCCAATGATAAATATTTACTTGTATATGACCCATATCGTCAAGTTAACTTCGAAAGTATTTTCTACTGGTTAACTCGAGACAAGTAGTCGGTTATAAAACAATATCGGTTTCCTATTGGATTTTAAATAATTAAAATATTATTCAATTTGAAATTAAAACTCGTTAATAAAATGTATTACGTATGATAGGACTTAATGCCAACTGATACTTTCTATACTTTTTATATATGTTTAAATAGTATGCAATATCTATCTATATTTATTTTTGAAATTACGTAAGTATATATTTTTGGCTAAACAAAATATAACCAACCAATCCCATAGTAATTGATTAGGTTTTGAAAACCGATTAGCGGTTGACACGGACCTGATATTACTTATTTATTTATACTTCATGCACAATCATTTAATATGCACATTAGGCGGACTTAATGCATTGAGCATTCTCTACCAGTCGACCTATGGGTGATATTGTGTTATAAAAGTAATTTTAATAAAATATAAAAATAAAAACTTAAAAGAAAAATTTAATAAATTAATATTTAGGAAACTTAAATGGATACATAATTTGTATCATGATAAACTAGATCCTAGCAGCGGCTTCGCTCGCTTTGCTTGCTTGATAAAAATCGTAGCCATTCAAGATGTCATTCAAGACAATAATCTGTATGGATTCCAATTTTAAACAAATTTCATAAAACTACAAACATTCCTTTGTTCATAATTACAACATTTAGGGCTGATTTTTCAATGGTAAGATAAAAGTTATCTGGGGACTAATTATGATGCTGTCGCGTCAGAATGTTTGTATAAGACGGTGAGAGCAATAATTTTATTCCACCGATAACATTTATCTGACTATTGCAAAATCAGCCCTTTAAGTTTATAATTTTAATAGGATTCAATTTTCGATAGCACATTGTTACGATTGTTATTTTTTTTTAACATCTTATTGTTATAGAACCACAATTGATGTATATAGCACGATAGTCTTAATATCAACGATTGTTTTGTAATTATGTTTTGATAAATAATCATAATGTACTAGAAGCTGAGAGGTGTTATTGTACTCTCAGTGCTATTCTTCGTCAGTAGTGGTAAAACAAAGACATTTATTTTAAAAGAAAGAATAGTACACCATTAAATTTTAATCAACTTTTTAAAGTAATATTTTATTATTTGCTAAATTATTTGTTAATGCTCGTATAATTATAACTATCCCCGATCTTTATTTTTACATTTTTGTCAACTAATATAATGTTTTTTTTTCTTTTTTTTCAGATGATGCTGTTACTTATGGCGATATTATTTGCTGTCACGGAAGCAGGTGTAATAGACAAAGTAGCAAACTGCGTTGTTGTCAACAATATCAAATATGAAAAAGAAATCTTGTCAAGTAATGTTGAAAGTCCGTACCAGTTGGTTATCGACCATGACACCAACACTCTCTTCTTCAGTTACACTGCACGAAGCGATGAAATGTTCAAATCAGCTTTCCTAAATTTGAAAACTAATGAATTCGGCGTTATTCCCGGTATCCGTGGAGGCTTTGCGAATGCTGTTAATTATAATGCTCACATCGTCTATCTAGGTGGAGAAGACGGTATCTACCAATTTGATTATAAAACTAAAAATGCTACCAAACTAAACATTACGCAAAATAACATTTGGCAAATGTTTTACAAAAACGGATTATATTTCACAACTTACCCTCATGAGAAAGCCTATATCTATAAAGGTGATAAAGTAGAAGAAGTGGCGCAAGTAAAAGATCACAGAGTAATGGTCATTGGAGTTAATAATGATGGCAAAATCGTGTACACCAATTCTTCTGGAATCTTCCTTTACGATAATGAAACCAATCAAACTACTCTTCTTAGCTACCATGTTGCTAACGCTGTTACAAATGATTTAGTGGGAAATGTGTATGTTTCAACTGCAAATGGAATTTACTCCGTAAATGCTACAACTAAAACTCTTAAAGAGCTAGTGAAAATAGACAACATTTATGGAGTGGCTATGGAAAACAATGAAAACATTATATACGCGGCTGAGAATAGCATAATTAGATTAAAACCTTCCGATAAAGTATGTGTTGACGAAAATATGTTAGCTAAAAATCTAGTTGAAATAGATCCATGACTCAAATGATCGCTTATAAGTAGATTGTAGATATACATTTTCGCTGTCGTTCAACATTAAAATACAATTCTTATTTTTTCAATAAATAAAATATGTGAAAATAAAATAGATAATAAGAATGTTCGTGTCAAGAGCTGAATTTTGGTAGTTATTACTATTTATACTTACTATGCTTGTTACGATGTAGTGTTCGATATTAAAATACATTGTTACACTTGTGTTGACTTTTTTAAATTCCGACTAGGCATACAATATAAAAGAATATATCTTTTTAAGCAATTCCTTTCCAGTTATCTTTTTTATTTAGAAGTTTATTAATAAATTTTTATACCCTTATCTGGCTTAAAACGTAGCTGTTACTTGTAGATGTCCATTCTAGAACAACACTCGAGAAATTAATACTCTTGCTTACTGTAGACCTCTGGCAAGTAATTTCGGGGTCCGCATGATCTACATTTCATTAAATTTATTTAGGACCTTATTTTGCGGTTGACTTTTGACTTTTTTATCCAGTAGCGTACTTCCATGGGGTTTTAATTATCCACCATAAGGGTCGATGAACTTAGATAATGTTATTTGTGGATTTTAAATTAGGACTTTTTGGAAGTTTCCGTGATTTTGAATTAAGGGTAAAGGGTGTGTTTGATAGTGTCAGTGACTGCTTGTTGTTCAGCATCTTAGACACAGGATAATGACATCACTCATAAGTGGACTTTTGCCGGCTTTAATATTTTTGTTTCTTTTCTTTATAATGTTTTCGCTCACTAGAATTTTTGTTGGAGCGTTGATAAACATGCAAAGTCTTAAAAAATAAGTAAACACATTAACTGTGTTTTTATAATAGAATGCCGTATGGTGCAATAAGACGTAATTATGTCAATGAATGATGCAAGTTTATGTTGCATTTTTTCATTTCTTAAAATGTATTTACATAATATTGATGAAGTGGCTATTGAAAATAGTGTAATTAGATTGGAACCTCCGAATTAATTGGGTGTTGATAAAAAAACGTTTCTTCAATAATAATGAAATGTGATTCATTAATTCATCAAGCGGGAAAGGTGTAATATATGGATTGATAGAAATATGGATGAATGTACTAGCTAAAAGCTATTCAAATAATAATTGTTTTAATAATGTATTGTGTCAAATTGATAAATGTAGTAGAATAAAAAACTATCAATACATACTTTAATCAAAGTCACATTATTGTTTTTTATCACAATTTATGTTTATTGAATTGGACGGCCGACGAACTTAATGTAGTAAACAAACTTTTCAATTGTTTTACTGTCTCAAATGGGCACTACAATGCTGTTGACCTCTAGCCACACATCATTTACATATTTTACCTTAATCAACTTATACGTGATATCTTCATTTTTGTCAACCCGATGATAAGCCATTTTCGCCCCTGAAAATCAGCGACACCAATGGACTTATAAGTGCGTTGACAGGCCTTGTAGGTGTAGTCAGGAATTTTAGGATTAGGAATTTGTGACGACTAGTGGAAGTAGGGTGGACGAATCGCTAATTTCACTTACACGGTCAAAATCATTGCAAGCGTGGTTTTCGACAGTTTTTTTGTGATGCTCTCGTATTACTCCTAGCAAGCCTGCCCATTTATGATGAAACATAGCATCCCCACACAATTCATTTTTAAAGATCTAAAGACAAACTAATCTTGTAAGGCCTAATTTAATTTATTAAATCGTTATATTTCTATAATAAATCTTCATTTATCTGGAATATTTTTTATTTTACAAGCCTCTAGTGTCTTAATAAAGGTGGCTCCGATCGTAAGCAGCTGTAAGGACGACGGTAAGATATTGCGTCATAATTCAACTACCACGCCACATGCTATTCATTGCTTTAGGTCCATACTTGTTTTTTTATTCTGATGAATTTGAACTATAAATCTATGGGATCGAATTATGATAGATAAACCTTTTTATTTTTATAAAAATGAATTGTAATTTACTGGCTCCCTATTGTTGAGGTGTTTTACAATCAGCTTTATTTGAAAAGTAATCTAAAAAGTGCTGCTAAGATGTCTGCAACTAATTCCCCTGATTGGTTTAACGATTGCCTGATGACTTCTGTTCCGACATGTTAGTGAAGTAGTAGGCCTAGGAGGTATGCTGCGTTACACCGGAGTGATACCACGGCTTCACAAAGACCGGCGTGAAACAACCACAGTGTTGTATTTCCCTATCCCTAAAAGGTCGGTACCGTAATCGTAATTCTTCTGTTGTTGCGGGCGTCCATGGGCAGCACTGATTGCTTACCATCAGAGATCGTCTGATCGTTTCGCGTCTATCACATAAAAAAACAAAAAGCCGGCAACACTCTTGCAATTTCTCTGGTGTTGCCAGTATCCATATGCGGCGTTGATTACTTATCATAGATAGATTATAAAAGACCGCTTGTTAAGATAGTAGCCTTTTGCATTGAATAATGATTTTATTTATTCCGTATAGCCCAGTATCTATTGGTGGCAACAATGAGTTTCTGCGCAAATAAACAAAAAAAAAGAACGAAAAGAATAAATATTTAAAAAAAATACATGAATATATGGAAATTATATTACTTTGTCAGTTATTTGTAACCATATCTTCCGGGAATAACAGGCGAACTTTAAATAATGTGATTTTAAAAAATAAATATAAATTTATATGTAGCAAAAAATACGTTTTAAATCTGCATGTATTATTTCCGTTTTAATGACATATCGAGGTTGAAAATGAATATGGCTACGAAATGATATCACGAAAAATATGGATAAATTCGATGCTGTGTGATTTTAACGAAAGACTTCATTACTTACACGAACTTTCTGAATGGAATACATTATGGAACGAAGGCACGTTTGCTTTGTAATTCATTTGGCGGTTCGTTAGCCATTTCGAAACTGAAAAAAGAAAAAATATACCCGAAACCAAGTTACTTAAATAAATGAAGATATAAAAGGAATAATGTTTTAATATGTTTGATTAAGCTTTGATGGCTAGTGGTGCGTAAAGACAGACATTTAGTGGATTGGTCTGAAGTTTATTTAAAAAAATAAAAGAGAGGGTTTGCCAGTTACATAGTGGATAGCTAAAGGAGCTTGCTATGGCTTGCCGAAGTCTGTTAGGGGATTTAGGCCAACTCTCAGGCAGTCCTATTGAAATTTCATACGAAACGATTTCCATCCGAGCGACATACTGCCATAGACATTGGTGATTGGTGCTTTTGCATGATTATGGGTACTCCTTGATGGTAGTTAAGACGTTTAGTTTACCGTGTGGTGAGACAGAGACAGAGTATATTACAAAGAGGATATACCGTTTTTGACTGCTGACTAAGTGGTGATTCTTCTGTTTCATTATCATCATCAGCCCATAAGTCCTACTGCTGAGCAAAGGCCTCTTCTCACACGGAGAAGGTTTGAGCATTAATTCGCACGCTTGCTCAATGCGGGTTGGCAATTTCAAACTTATAATTAGAAATTATAAGTCCAGGTTTCCTTACGATGTTTACCTTCACCGTATGTCAGTGGTGTCTAAATAATCAAAGAAAGTACATATAACTCGGAAAAAGTCACATTGGTACTTGCCAGGTTTCAAACCTACACCCTCACGCATGAGAAGCGGGCTCCTTAGCCTCCGGGCCACCACGACCTTATTCTTCTGTTTTAATGGCCGAAATCATATAAGCAGTCTGCGTGGGGCGCGAGAGAGAGAGAGTGTGAGACCCTTACCAATTAAAAACTACCATAATCTTTCTCATGTTGCGGGATAAGGTCACGGTACTTGATTAAGCTTACCCTAGCAACACAGGAGGTGGCGTCAGTGTGGTCACTTCTTACATAAGCTATGTTCTAGTGTCCGTTATACTCGACATTGCTAGTTGTATTTGTTCCTCTCCATTAGCCGTTTTAAATGGTAAAATTCGTTGACAATATTCAGGATCGCAGACACTCTGGGAACGATTTATTTCATAGCACAGAGCACAATGCCTACGCTGTTCATGAATCGCCTTGTTTGACTTGGTTCTACTAGAGCTATTATCAGTTTATGTATGTCAAAAGTTGGTAACTTTCTAATTACGTTAATTATGGCTTACAATATTTAGTATGAAAAATGATTTCAAACCATGATTGAACCAATGTTCTAAATTACAGCATCATTTTGCCTGCATTCTAAATCACTTATCTGACTCTACTGCAAAAAGAGAGAATTTGCTTTAGAATACAGTATGGTCAGAGGACTGCATTGCTGGAGTTCGCCTATACCTCAAAATAGACCTCCTTGGCATGTCCACTGAGATTGCGGATGCGGAGTTTGCGGATTCTTCTCTGGAAGAGGTCCTACCATTCTAGAAAAACGTCATTGAATGATCTTCTTAAAGTTCGCAGAAACAGCCTGGAGCTTAGAAAAAAATATTTCAAATAATTTAACTAATAAAACCTCTTTAGAAAAAAAGTATCAAAGCAAAAAATGTTTAATAATTAAAATTAAAATTAATGTGTTAACTACACTCTCAACTACTAAAGTTATAATGAGTTTAATTAATCAAAACAGCTGACACCTTTATAAACTTACAAAATAACTTGACGTGTTTAATCCCTAAAACTAATTAGTTTTGCTCGTGATATGAACTTTAAACCTAATTTGTACTTTGTAATACTTTGTAATTAATGTATCAAATAACAACATATTTTTTCTATGTTATATTTATGTAGAAGGCGAGTATTTATTTTTTATTTTGAACAATACTTATGGGCTTTATTTCTTCTATTAGACGGTCCATCCATCCATCCATCTCACTGACCTGTATTATCAGTTCGGGAACTGGCCTATTTTACTCTACCACAGGGTAAAGAGAGAGCCAATGGACAGGCGTGGCGTGAATGACATGCGATTTGTGAGGCACGGAGTAGGGGCATGGAAAAAGATCTTATAAAAGAGAAATTAGGGGTACCTCTGAAGTAATTACCTTCCTTACCTTAAATTCCA